CCCCCCCCCCCCCCCCCCCCCAAGGTCTCTTTGAAGGTTACTTTTGTTTCCCCAGTGGCTACCTTTTCTTTCACACTAACCTTTTTGATTACATAATGCAGTCTGTAGTAACAGTGTCATCTGTATTTGTGTTCACAGATAGTCATTGAGGATATCGACAATTCCAATATCCTATCAACCTCATTAAACTGAAAGCCACAACACACAAGGAAATCATTTAATTTCCAAGTTGCCACAGTATTTAAATTGGGGCAAGACAGCTAATATAAGTTACCAAAAAAAAAGTTTTCTTTTCAAAATGCCTGCCATATACTTCTGCATATTCAAAGACATCCTCCTAAAATGGCTTTTGAGCACACTGGAAAGGTCACAGCCATCACACATGCACAAAGCTGGAATACTTTAACTAGACAGTTGCTAACTTGTTTAATTTCATGTTTGATTTCAATTACACTTTTTTAAAACTTAATAGTTGACAGTGTTCATTACAATAGTATGCGTTACTTTTCCCCCACAGTAGCTACTGCACATATTCAGCTGTAAATAAATGTTGTCTCAAGCCTATTTTTGTTTCCAGTGATTTTTTTTTTTTTTTTTTTTAATTTATTTATTTAAAATCCAGAATGGCTTAACCTTTTTGAAGAGAAAATCCACACACGTCATGTTTCAATTTCCAGCTGAATAATAATATCTGTGGCAATGTTGTTATGTAATGGGAAGGAGGGATTGTTTGAGCACTGCTTGATATGCTAGATTTTTATGACCCCAGTTGATATTACTGGACAAGTCAGATTCCAGACTGAAACCTGGCTTGATGGCTCATGTTTTAATGAGGTGATCTCTTGCTGAAACTAGGCTTGCAATGTTGCAGGTTTTTGTTTCAATATGAGAAGTTTATTGATGAAAAGAAATCAATCTAAAATAGAGTAAACTAAGCAATTTACCAAACACAAAATCAAAGACTTTGAAAATGCGTAGCAGAAACTATAATCTCAAAGTCCTTTTGTGAGGTGCCCAGAAAAAAAGCCCTTGTGCGGTACCTAAATGCATCCTTTTAGTAGTACTCACACCAGAGGAGAAGAATCGATCACTAACATCTTGATAGACTTAAGGCAGTGGTCTCCAACTTCTTTTAAACGCAGTCACTTTTAAGTGTAAAGCTGATATTTCCTGAAGGAAATATAAAACAAACCAGTTTATTTTAAATTGCTTATAAACCTTCAACCAAGTATGCATTAATTTTGTCCTCCACTCAACTATTCTTGTGTGACACTTGTGACTGCATGTTATCTGTCATTGCCTTGAAGTCTGGGTTGCAGTTTGAGGTTGCTAGTTGTGTAGAGTGCATCAAATGGGTGTCTGAGAGGTAGGTACGGAACTTCGACTTGGTCATTTTCATTTGGGTGAATGCTGCATCAGAGATATGAAAGTCGATGTAAACCTTCATCTCAAAAGCACAGGATGATAGTGGGTATTTTTCTATTTACAAATCCCAAAAAATCACTTTCATTGATCTGACTTTCAACTCCATATCATTTTGCATTGTAATTATCTCCATATCAGCTAGATAACTTTGTACATCAAATATTATGGAATTTGGCAGTTAACTCACCAATGTCTACTTAATCGAATGGATTTCAGACAAACATGGTGATTTGTTCCATTGCAGCTTATTCCTAAAATCGTCTGTTTAAATTCCTCTGCTAACCTCAGGTGTGCACAGATGTTTTCAGTGTGGGACCATTGTTTATTTGACTCTGATTTTCTTTTTTATTCCTAGTATTGTCTCCAGAGTCAGTGTCAAGCATTTTATGTTTTAGTTGGGAGGAGCATAGACCCAGTTCCAATTTGAAATCACAACACTGTTAATATATGCTATTCCTCTGTCCTATTTCATACAGTATACAGTTTGGCTCGTTCAGTTTTTAAGTTATCTCTGCAAAGTCATGCAACCATACATTGTCTGATCACTCTCTGCACACTTCATTCTTTGATTTTTTTTTTTTTTTAGAAGTGGTGATTTCAGGTATTGGATCTAAACATCTGGGTAGGACCTTCCCTCAACTTAACCACCTCATGCCTGCATGGAAGATTAGTTCACTGTAGGCAGCACTAAATTTATCGAATAAGGATTTAAATGGTGTTGAAGGGTTCTTGCTGTAATCAAGTTTACAGTCTTAAAAAATTTTTAATCCTTAGAAAAGCCTGAACTTGCTAGTGTTTGCTGGTTGACTATACAGTGGCATGCAATAAAAAAGGGGAGGAAACCAGGGTAATTTCTGCAAAGTACAATAAAGCCCTCATTTGTGCCAAGTTTGGCTGGTGCACAATAAGTTGTGATGGAAAGCAGTTTCTTGATTCAGAGTCTGAGTCCTATTGCAGAGATAGGCCCTTTGTCCCAAACGGGTTCATGCTGACTAAAAATGTCCATCCACACTAACCCAATTTCTCTGCACTTAGCCCATATCCTTTAACCTTTCCTGTCCATGTATTTGTCCAAATGCCTTGTAAACGTTAATGTACCTGCCTCAACTACTTACACTGGCGGCGCATTCCATATGCATACCACCCTTTTGTTTGTTTGTTTTTTTTTTGAAAAAAGTTGCCTCCCAGGCTCCCATGTATTCTTTCTTTCTGCTCTTGCCTTAAACTGATGCCCTCTAGTCCTTGATTCCCCAACCTAGGGACAAAGACTGAGTGCATTCACCCTATCCACCCTCTCCATGATCTTATACACTTATGTAAGACAGTTTTCTCTGCTGTAAAGAAAAAAGTTCTAGCTTGTCCAATGTCTCCCGATAACTCAGTCCCTGGAGTCCTGACAACATCCTTGTAAACTTCTTCTGCACTTTTTTTTTCCCAGTTTAATAACGTCCTTCCTATAGCAAGGTGAACAAAACTGAACACAATACTCCAAGTGCGGCTTCACCAACGTTCTATACAACTGCAACATAAGTTCCCAACTTCTATATTCAATGTTGCTGGAAGCTCAGCAAGTCTGGCAGCATCTGTGAAGGGAAAAAGAGTCAGAGTTAACATTTCTGGTCCGGTGACCCTTCCTCAGAAGGACTCAAAATGTTAACTCTGACTTTTCTTCTTCACAGACGCTGCCAGACCTACTGAGCTTCTAGCAACTTGTTCTGTTTTTCTTGATTCACAGCATCTGCAGTTCTTTTAGTT